TGTAATCCCAACACTTTGGGATGCTAAGGTGGGAGAATCACTTGAGACTGGAAGTTTGAGACCGGCCTGGACAACATAGGCAAACCTTGTGTCTACACAACATCAAAAATTATCTGGGTATGGTGGCATGTGCCTGTAGTCTCGGCTGCTCGGGAAGCTGGGGTGGAAGGATCACTTGAGCCTGAGGGATTGAGGCTGCAGTGAGCTGTGATTATGCCATTATACTCAGCCTGAGTGACAGAGTGGAACCCTAAATAAATACGTAAATAAATAATGGATTTACTTGAATGATTGGTTTGTGAAAGTACTCCGCTGTATATATTTGTTCTTTTGTATATGCTATGCCTCTCTGCTTTATGATGTATTTTGATATTTGACTAAAGTTCCAACCTATGATGGCTAACTAAAATGAAAGAATCTAGGTAAAGTTAAATCTTGAAACAGATTTTGCACAGTAACCATAATTTTAATAGTCTTTTCAGCTGCAAGATCTATGTCTGTAACACCAGTTAGCTGATAAATAATTGATGAATAGAGAGATGTCAGTGTGATTTGGAAGTTGTATTGGTTCATATGTGATTTTTCCTAGGTAGTGAAAAATAGAAATAAAACCTTCATCTGGAAGCAGAAAGCTGTTAGCCACACAGGCAGATCCCCTTTCATGTTTAAGAAAGTTAATGAAGTTAAATAAGAGTGTGTACACCTAGCGCTTGTTCCCCAGAAGGGTTTAAGTATTCCATTTTCTCTTGTCCCTTCTTTAATGGCAACCCCACTGGCTCAGAGCTCCACTTCAGTCTGCTTTGTGACAACATCTAAGCATCATTTCCAGTTAATTTTGTTCATTTCAAATATTCCCCAAGGTAGCTTCCAGCTCTGAGCCACATGCTGGGTTGTCCATCTTTTTCATGAATCGTAGTTACTGTCTTTTTTTTTTTTTAAGATGGAGTCTCGCTCTGTCACCCAGGCTGGATTGCACAATCTTGGCAATCTCGGCTCACTACAGCCTCCACCTTCCAGGTTCAGGTGATTCTCCTTCCTCAGCCTCCTGAGTAGCTGAGACTACAGGCACCTGCCACCACACCCAGCTAAATTTTGTAGTTTTATTAGAGATGGGATTTTACCATGTTGGCCAGGCTGGTCTTGAACTCCCCACTTAAAGCCACCCACCCGCCTTGACCTCCCAAAGTGCTAAGATTACAGGCATGAGCCCTGGTGTCCAGCCTAGTTACTGTCTTTCTTAGTGATCTTGTTACAAAGTTGCATGGGTTTCAAGTAGTTTGCCTCAAACTTGCTTTTCCCATAAATCTTCTCTTTTTGGCTTGTGCTTTTGCAGGAGGGTGGTTTTCATGAGTGGATATATTGTGTTACAGCGTGGATACCTCTGTAATTTGTGACATCTGTATAAAAGCAGTTAACATTAAATTCTTTATTCTCAGCTCATTTAATATTTTAAAATGAAAACACCTGTTCATTGCATAAAAGTAAAGGATGCAGCATTATGGATACTTAATAAGTGTTCCTGAAATCCTCTTCCTTTTCCAGTCTCACTTGCCTAAATAATTAATGCCTACTGTTCATCGTGCCTATATTTTTAATATGCATTTACATGTATACATAGATTTTAAATATGATCCTAGAGAACATTTTACAATGAGACTTTCTTGCCCCTAAACAAACAAAATATCCCCTGGTGTGGACGTGTCATAACTTTTTTTTTTTTTTTTTTTTTTTTAACAGTCTTGCTCTGTTGTTCAGGCTGGAGTGCAATGGCGCAATCTTGGCTCACTGCAACCTCTGCCTCCTGGGTTCAAGCGATTCTCCTGCCTCAGCCTTCTGAGTAGCTGGGATTACAGGCATGTGCCACCATGCCTCGCTAATTTTTATGTTTTCAGTAAAGATGGGGTTTCATCATGTTGGCCAGGCTGATCTTGAATTCCCAGCCTCAAGTGATCCACCCGTCTTTGCCTCCCGAAGTGTTGGGATTACAGGCGTGAGCCACCATGCCTGACCTGTGTCATAACTTTTAAAACTATTTTTCCATTGCTTGCTGTTTAGATGGTATTCTAACTTTTTACTATTACAAACATGTTACATTGAACTTCCTTATACTACTTGTTGTTATGAAATAGAGTAAGTGTTGTTGAAATGGAATAGACTTTCAAAGGGAGATTATTGGGTCTCAGCTTGTGTTCATTTAAAATGAATAGATATGACCCAATCAATGGCTTTTGAAAAATGATGTAGCAATTTATATTCCCATTTATAAAGTTTAAGACTAATTTAGTTGACTGTAAAATATTATTTTCTTAGATTTTTGATATGTGGCTTGAGGATAACACAAGGTAAAAATGCTGATTGAAATGTTAAGAATGTGGACTTGATCACAACTTTGAGTTTTAACTTTGTTTTTATTTTTTGCTTTAGAATTTGCTTTTTCTTACATTTCTGTATGAGATGGCTAACATTTTTCTTATTTCTGCAAATTTTTATCGAGACATACGTGGCACACAATTAGAAATGTGTAGTTCAATGAATTTTCAGAAACTGAACATACCTATTTAATCAGTTTCCAGACAAACAAAACATTACTAGCCTCCAGAAGTCTCATTCTATCAGTAACTCACTAAGGTAACCACTGTCCTGATTTATGATACCATTGGTTGGTTTTGCCTGTATTTGAACCATATGTAAATAGACTCATATAGTATATGCTAGTATACTGTATGTTGCTTTCTTTCCTCAGTGTAAGAAATTTGTGAGGTTCATCTATGTTTTTCCAAGAGGTTTTACATCAGTTATTTTCATTATTGTATAGTATTTCATTGTATAACTGTAATTAGCTTACTCATTCTTTTGTTGATAAGAATTTCATTGTTTCTAATTTTTGACTCTTAGAAATATTACTAATAATACTTTTTCAGATGTTCTAATACGGTAAACATTTCTCTTAGATACATCCCCCAGGAATGGTGATGGATTGGTGTATTTCTATTAGTTTCTTTTTTTTCCTCCAAAATGGTTAATACCAGCTTGCACTGTCACAGTATATAAACGTTTAGTTGCTCTGCATTCTTGACAATACTTCATTCTTGTTGTAACTATTTTTGCAGAGTTGGTTTTAATCTGCATTTCCCTGGTATCCCTGGTGACTAATGAAGTATAACATCTTTCCTGCTTTATAAAAGAAAGTTTTTGACTTTATTTAATTATTATTATTATTATTATTTTTTTTTGAGACGGGGTCTTGCTCTGTTGCCAGGCTGGAATGCAGTGGCGCAATCTCGGCTCATTGCAACCTCTACCTCCTGGGTTCAAGTGATTCTCCTGCCTCAGCCTTCTGAGTAGCTGGGATTACAGTTGCTCACCGCCACGCCCAGCTAATTTTTGTATTTTTAGTAGAGACAGAATTTCACCATCTTGGCCAGGCTGGTCTTGAACTCCTGACCTTGTGATGCACCCGCCTTGGCCTCCTGAAGTGCTGAGATTATAGGCATGAGCCTCCATGCCCAGCCCTGTAGTCTGAATATAGGGATTACAGGTGTGAGCCACAGTACCTGGCCGACTTTATTTATTGACTGTTTGGATAATCTCATTTGTCAAGTGCCTATTCAAGCGTTTATTCTTTTTCTTTTGGGGTTCAGCCTTGTCCTTATTTTTTGGTAGGAGTTGTTAACATATTAGAAGTGTAAGTCCTTTGTTTGATGTTTTGCAAATACTTTTTCCCAGTCTCTCAAAGGTGTTTTTGGATGACTTAAAAGGTCTTAATCTTCCAGCTTATCAAATATAGTCCAGTCTGTCATTTCTTTTTTTTTTTTTTTTTTTTTTTGAGTACTTCTTTTGTTTTGTATAAGAAATCATTGCTTAGTTCAAGGTTTTGACAGTGTCTTCTGTACTTTTTCCTAAAATCCCCATTGTTTCACCTTTTACATTTAGATCTGTAACCCATCTGGAATTGGTTTTTGTGCAGGATGTGTTGAGATTCATTACTTCTCCTGTATGAGTATACAGTTGATCTGGAGTATTTATTGAAAAGACCATCCTTTTCCTACTGCAATACTACATCAAGTTTTTCAGACATCAGAGTACTGTATGTGAGATGGGTCTGTTTCTAGACTTTTCTTTAAAAAGAAAACTGATTGGATCAGTTTGCTCCTTCTTGTATAAGTACCGTATTCTCTTAATAAAGTTTTATGGTAGTTCTTAAGATCTGATAGTACAACATTTTTCAGATTTGAACCTCAAAACAGCTTGGGCTGTCCTGTTATTTCTGTAGGATTTTTAGAATTGAAATTTGTTAAATTCTACAAGAAAACCTGCTGATGTTACAACACCAGTTATAAACATCAAATCGAGGAAAATCGATTATCCTGGCAATATTGAGTTTGCGAATTCATAAGCAGAGTGTGTTCCTTCATTTATTTAGGTTTCCTTTAATTTCTCTCAGAACAAAGCCGGAAGATTTAACACTATTAGATATGAAGACTAAATATAACATCTGGGTTCATTAAGACAGTATAGTATTGATACAAGTGTGTATGAATAACTTCAACAGACCAGAGAATCTGGCCTAAGGTTGCAGTTCATGCTTCTAATGTCTGCATTTTGGGAGGCCAAAGGCAGGAGGATCACTTGAACCCAGGAGTTTGAGACCAGCTGGGCAATATAGTGAGACCCTAACCATCCAAAAACAACAACAAAAAAAACCCAGCTCGTTAGCTGGGTGTGGTGACATGCACTTGTAGTTGCAGCTACTTGGAAGGCTGAGGTGGGAGGATTGCTTGAGCCTGGAAGATTGAGACTACAGTGAGCCATGGCTATGCTACTGTACTCTACCCTGGGTTACAGAATGAGACCCTGTCTCAAAAAAAACAAAAAAAAAAAAAAACCAGAGAGTCAAAGCCAGGAATATCAGTGTTTGTTCTAGTTTATGTTTAATCGATGAGTGCTTTCAATTTACAATCTTTAGTGTTATTTTAATGTTCCTTTTCCTTTTCTCACAGGTGCGGGCCATGTTTGAGGATTGCCCCAGCATTCAGTTCTATGAGTAATAAATATCCACAGGCTGTTTTCTTAGAAGTCGACGTACATCAGTGTCAGGTAAGGGAAAGGAATCTTTTTTAATTTGCTTTTGAATAAATTTGAATCCAACATTAATATTCTTCATTTATCTCTTGATGCACATAGTACTTATTCCTTTGAAGACAGGAAGATGTTATGTTGATGTCATTATTGCAGATGTCATTATGGCTACTTTAGTTAAGAGTAGCACATTATTAATTGCTTTAGGTTTGTATTAATCACCTTCTGATATAAAATTAATATGATGTTGTTAATAGATCACCTAGCAGTTTTTTGTATTACATTTCCTTATGTTTTGCAAACCTACAATTATATCTTCTACCCCCGAGGCATTGGCCGATTATACAGCAATGGCAAGGAGTTCTTGGTTACAATTTGAATTGATCAGTTTGTAATCTTATCTCCAAATCAGCATACTGAGCAGAAACTTTAAAATGTTGATTACTTTATTTTTTATTTTAAATTTTTTTGAGATGGTGTCTCACTCTGTCACCAGGCTGGAGTGCCGTGACCCAATCTCAGCTTGCTGCAATCTCCACCTCCTGGGTTCAAGTGATTTTCCTGCCTCAGCCTCCTGAGTAGCTGGGACTATAGGCGATTGCCACCATGCCCAGCTAATTCGTTGTATTTGTAGTAGAGACGGTGTTTTACTGTGTTAGCCAGGATGGTCTCCATCTCCTAACCTTGTGATCTGCCTGCCTTGGTCTCCCAAAGTACTGGGATTACAGGTGGGAGCCACCGCACCTGGCCAAAATGTTGATGACTGTTGATTGAGCCACAGTGTTGTAGGTGAATTACCCTGATTACTTAGTTGGAATGGTATGTGACAGTTCTGTATTTGTATATGTAGAAATGTAGGGAATTGTTAAGGAAAAAAAAAAAATTGGAAGGCTCTTTCCAATACTAAAAAGTGGAGTCTTTAGTTCTGATGAAGGAACAACTCTATAGCTCTGCAACTTTATCTTTGTTAAGTTTCTGAGTGTGGTAAACATTTTAGAATATTATGTAGTTTGTAGTTAGTTTGGGGATTTGTCACATAGTATATGTTTCAGCACTTAGTCACCTGTTATTGAACTGTATCATTGGCCCCGGATTTAATCACTATTTCTGATATGAAAGTGCTTTTTCCTGGAGCTGTGCTGTCAGGTATTGTAACCACTGGCTACATGTGTTTACTGAGCACCTTAAATGTGGCAAAGCCAAATTGAGAGGTACTGAAAGTATAAAATACACATCAGATTTTAAATACTTAGTATGAAAAAAATGTAAAATAATTCATTATCTTTTTATGTTGATTAGACTGAAAATGTATATATTAGGTTTGCTGTGATATTAAAATTGATTTTACTTATTTTACTTCTTTATTATAGATAATAGAAAATTTAAAATTGCATATGTAGCTCATGGGCTACATATCCATTGTTTTGGACAGCACTTCTCTGTAAGGTCAATCATAGTTTTTTCACTTAGAGGGTTTGAGAAGACATTCCTATGCTAATCTTTATGTTCATTTTCTTTAAATAATATAGTAGTGACATTCATAATATTTGAATATGTAAGGTGCCATATTTGCTTTACTGGTTCCTTTATACTTGTCATGAAAAGTTTAAACTAGGATACTGAGTGGGTATTAGGTAATTTCCATTCAGTAGTTAGTCTTATAAAATTGTGGAGCTAGGACAGAATTTTAAAAGGTAGTTATTGGCCGGACGTGGTGGCTCACGCCTGTAATCCTAGCACTTTGGGAGGCCGAGGTGGGTGGATCACCTGAGGTCAGGAGTTCAAGACCAGCTTGGCCATCATGGTGAAACCCCATCTTAAAAAAAAAAAAAAAAAAAAAAAGGTAGTTGTTGGAATGTGTTTGATGCGTGACCAAAGACATTTCTGTAAGAGTAAAAATTGGGTGACAGTTGCAATGCAAAATACGTTGCCGGTTTTTCACAGGCAGATTGACTACTGTTTTTCAGATGCACACTTTTTTTTGTTTTTTTTTTTTTTTGAGATGGAGTCTCGATCTTGTTGCCCAGGCTGGAGTGCAATGGCACCATCTCGGCTCACCGCAACCTCTGCCTCCTGGGTTCAAGTGATTCTTCTGTCTCAGCCTCCCAAGTAGCTGGGATTATAGGAGCCCGCAACGATGCCTGGCTTAATTTTGTATTTTTAGTAGAGATGGATTTTCCTCCATTTTGGTCAGGCTGGTCTTGAACTCCCAACCTTGGGCAATCTACCCGCCTCGGCCTCCCAAAGTTATGAGACTATAGGCATGAGCCACCATGCCTGGCCAGATAGACAGTTTTTTCTCCTAGCAGTGGTTTGTGTTCACTTTATTAATACCATTCTTGGTTATTCTTTTTGAGAAATACCTGTAATTATGAAAGACCTGTCTGGTGTGAAGCACAGTTTCGGCATTGAAAGCTAATTTTTCTACTGGATGACATATTTAGCAGTAAAAATGATAAAAATGTAGACAGTGTTCTTTATAGTGTGTGTAAGGGTTATGTAGCTATGCCCAAAGGGGAACTCTCTTAGGAACAGGTCTATTTTTTTCTTAAATTACAATTAGGAATGCAGTATTTTACGTTTTTACTTCATGCTTATGATATTTAACTTCCATAAAGGTATAGAATGAATATTCAAAGTGGTTTAAGATTTAATTCATAACACTGTCCAACTTGTCAATTCTAGGGAACAGCTGCCACCAACAATATATCAGCAACACCTACATTTTTGTTTTTTCGAAACAAAGTGAGAATTGATCAGTATCAAGGAGCAGATGCTGTGGGATTAGAAGAAAAAATCAAGCAGCACTTAGAAAATGACCCTGGAAGCAATGAAGACACAGATATTCCAAAAGGCTATGTATGTAGACTGAAAAGTGAAATCATAATGTATCTTATACATGTCATTATTTGGTTAAAATCAAATATAACTGTTTTTATGTTCTATCTCTTAATGGTTTACAATACTTTTAAATAAGAGGCTTCAAATTAAATTTATTAGCTGACTATTGAGTTTTGTCTGTATGTGTATGTCTTTGTGTGTGTTAAGCCCCTATCATAAACAGTTTTTCCTAAATTTCTCCTGATTTTCTTTGCCACTTATTTTTTTATCTGCTTTCTGTGCTATTTTAATAGCCATTTAAAAATACTTGCTTTATACTTTTTTTTTTTTTTTTTTTTTTTTTTTGCAAAAAGTGAAGACGTGTATTGGAAATTTTTTTTCACTTTTTGACAATTGTGTAAAATGACTTACAAGTTTTAATTATGACCTTATATATTGAACTCCCTTTGCTGCCACTCACTTCCTATAGTTTTATCTTTTTAAATGTATGCCCTCTTTTCTGGTACTCTATGTTTAAAAATAAAAGTCTAGTTACTGATTTTGTTTTAGAATTAAATGTGACTTTAGTATCACATGTATTATTCTAGGTTTTAAGAGTAAGTATTTTAAATAGCAACATAAAGACTTAAGAATCTAAAGGATAGTGTTTGAAAACTTCAGAGTATGAGTAGTTATAATGCAGCATTTTTAATTTGAGAGTTATTCAAGAAAGAAGCAAAATTCAGAAACAGCACTTCATGGTATTAGATATGTTTATACATATAGGTAAATCCTGCATAATAACGTAGTTCTTAATTTCTCTGGTTATAAAGTTACTGCACTGGTAGATCAAAGAATGAATTTTTTAAAAAGTTACCTCAAGTTAAAGCTAATATCCTAAACAAGGTACCTATCAGGCATATTAAAGCAGATTTGTGTCATGGAGCTACAAGTCCTCTCTATATGTCTAAATTCATGCCAAATGAAGAGAAGCTATAGTCTAATAAATATGAGAGATTCTGTGTATGTATGTGCAGTAGGAGATTGGGAGGGTGTCAAAAAGCATCAGTAACATGTGATACCAGCCTTAATTTAGGGAAGTACAATTACTGTTATTTAAAATAGGCCTGTAATTTGAAGTTGTAATGTCCAATTAGAAAGTATCAATGTATTGTTTATATCATGGTTGTAACATCTTTTGGACAGTTTCAGAAATAACTTAACTTGTAAACCATTGTGTTTATATCTTTTTATATTTTCCCTTTGTTACTAAGGGTGCTTGCATTAAAAAGTCTTATGAGCACAGTAGTCTTGTTGCTTAGTTATAGGCATACTTCTTTACACATCAGCTATGGTATGAGTGTTTTGGCCTCAGACAGGAAATAGGCATGAAAAGATGAAATTTTAAGAAATAAAAATTTAGTTTTTGTGTAAATGTTATGGATAAAATATGAAAAGCTGTTTTTTAAAAATTTCTCTTTTTTTCCTATCAGGTGTCAATCAAGACATTAAAGTTTTGAACTATTTAGGTCTTAAAGGGTTATTCAGTATTTAAAACTGGTACTCTGTTCCCAAGACTGTTATTATTCTTAGAACACAAGTAGAAACTTACTGGAAATAAGACTCACTGGATGAAAACCTTTCTCCTAAGTAGATTTAAATATAAGCATTGCAGGCCAAGTGTGGTGGCTCATTCCTGTAAACCCAGAACTTTGGGAGGCCAAGGCAGGTGGATCAGCTGAGGTCAGGAGTTTGAGACCAGTCTGACTAACATGGTGAAACCCCATCTCTATGAAAATACAAAAATTAGCTGGGTGTGATGGCAGGCGCCTGTAATCCCAGCTACTGAGGAGGCTGAGGCAAGAGAATTGGTTGAACCTGGGAGGCAAAAGTTGCAGTGTGCCAAGACCACGCCACTACACTCATAGCCTGGGCGACAGAGCGAGACTCTGTCTCTAAATAAATAAATAAATAAATAAATAAAAGCTTTGCAAAAATGCATTAACAATTTTTTATAAAACTGAGAGTTTCTTGGAATCAGTTTTGGTGATTATGTTTGAACACTCAGAGGCTATACAAGTTGTTGATTTTATACATCCTATTGTTTTGAAACTATTTATCTGAGGCCAGAGTACGAGGTTATGAGAAGTTTTTAAAAAAAATCTTAAGATTGAATAATTTTAATTCACTTTAAAAAGAGAAATATATATATCTATTTTAGGGGGTTAAGATATTGTGAAAGATGTAGTTGTAATGCTCAAAAGGTGAGGACTCATAATTCTAATTCAGAACACTGTTTTTTGTGAACATAGTGACTTAAAAATTGATACATAATAGTTGTGCATATTTATGGGATACATGTGATATTTTGATACTTACATGCAATGTGTTATTCCAAATCTTCTAGCTATTTTGAAATATACAAGTTATTGTTAATTATAATTACCTTTCTGTGAATAATGACTTTAACTTTCTAAAAATGTTAGTTGAAGTTGGGAAAAATTTTAAACCATATATCTTTACTCCCCCATATTTGCTAAGAGTAGATTATGTTTAGTGTGGCTTTATTTTTTATTTATTTTTTAAAATATCTCCACAAGTGGAATTTTATTGATGGCTCTAGCTTATTCCCTCCCAAAAGATTACTGCAAACAAATGAAGATTTTGTTTTTATGATAAAAGAAAATACTACACTTAGAACTGGACCACCTCGCCCTTTCTCTTCTTATCTACTCCCAGTTCAAAATACTTGCATCTTTTAATAACCAGCATTCTCTTAGATCTGCAGTTGGGCTCAATGCACTCAAGCCTTAACACAATCTTCTTTGTAGTTTTAGCCTTTTTCTGGAAAATTGGCTTAGTCTGCCCACCATAGCCACTCTGCTTCCTGTCGTAAAACTGCTTTCCCTGGGCTTTCAGAGAATCCTTGCCCTTCTTGTACTGTGTTACTTTTGTGGGATTGGCATTTGCCACACTTTTTTTTTTTTTGAGTTGGAGTTTCGCTCTTGTTACTCAGGCTGGAGTGCAATGGCACGATCTCCGCTCACTGCAGTCTCCGCCTCCTGGGTTCAAGCAATTCTCCTGCCTCAGCCTCCTGAGTAGCTGGGACTACAGGTGCACGCCACCATGCCCAGCTAATTTTTGTATTTTTAGTAGAGATGGGGTTTCACCATGTTGACCAGGATGGTCTCGATCTCTTGACCTTGTGATCGACCCGCCTTGGCCTCCCAAAGTGCTGGGATTATAGGCGTGAGCCACTGCACCCAGCATCACACTTCTTACAGAAAGTCCAGCAAGTTCTAGGAACGTTCACTGTGTTTACATGAGCACTATTGGCAGGGAAAGCTGTTTTTTATATTTTTTAAGTTTGTTTGTTTGTTTGTTTTTGAGAGAGTCTCGCTTTGTTGCCCAGACTGGAGTGCAGTGGGGTGATCTTGCCTTACGGCAACCTCTGCATCCCGAGTTCAAGCGATTCTCCTGCCTCAGCCTCCCAAGTAGCTGGAATTACAGGTGCCCGCCACCACGCCCAGCTAATTCTGTATTTTTAGTGGAGACAGGGTTTCACCATGTTGGCCGGGCTGGTGTCAAACTCCTGAACTCAGGTGATCTGCCCTTTTCAGCCTCCCAAAGTGCTGGGATTACAGGCATGAGCCACCGCGTCCAGCCTCCAAATACAATGTTTATACTTTATATTGTATAAAGTATAAAAAAACTATATGTTTTTATTTATTTATTTTTTTTTCGAGACAGGGTCTCACTCTGTTGCCCAGGCTGGAGTACAGTAGCACAATTTCCGCTCATTGCTGCCTTGATTTCCTGATCTTAAGCCATCCTTCCAGCTCAGCCTCCCAATTAGCTGGGACTAAAGGTACATGCCACTGTACCCAGCTAATTTTTTTGTTTACTTTTTTTTCAAGACAAAGTCTCACTATGTTGCCCAGGCTGGTCTCAGACTCCTAGGCCCAAGCTATCCACCCACCTCAGCCTCCCAAAGTGCTGGGATTACAGGCATGAGCCACTGTGCCAAGCCTTTTACTTTTTATCTCTGTTATTGGCATATACTTTTTTTGGATCTTTATTCTGAGTCTAACAATTCAACTGTAAAATATTTATAGACACTTAAGGAAATTTGACCACTGATATGATGTTAAGTATTATTGATTGTGATAATGCTATTAAGAATGTGTTTTTTTTTTTTTTAAGTTCTTATTGCTTAGAAATTCACACTGAAATGTTCATGAATGAAATGAAAAGATGTTTAACATTTTTCAAACTAATCAGGAGGAGAGTTAGGATTTAGTTGGGGGTTAGAGATGAGGCGGGAGTGGCCATGAGTTGATGATTATTGTAGCTGGAGGTGGTGGATACATAGGATTCACTGTATTATTACATTTTTTTGGTTTGAAATTTTTCTTGTTAAAAACTTTTTAAGTCCTTATTTGTTACTCCTTAAATTGGACATCTTCAAAGATAAAAAGAGTCTTTGGCCACTAGAAGAGGGAAACAGGCTTTCTTTGGATCTTACAGATACTTTAATTTGCATATTTTCTTCTGTAAAACACTTATTTTTTAAAGCGTAAGTCAACATTTTATAATCTTAGTGTTAGGGACATAATTTCTGATACCTTAACAAGTAGGCTAAGCCTAGATTTGGCTTTAATAATCGATGGTAGGTCTCAGAAATGCAAATGAAAGGACTATCCTAAAATTGTTTTATGAACTGTTTTAAAAGAGTTTTCTTAAAATTGCCTACGATGTGGATTTTTTATTAAAATCTTGGTTTAATTTTTTTTCAGATGGATTTAATGCCTTTTATTAACAAAGCTGGTTGTGAATGTCTTAATGAGAGTGATGAGCATGGATTTGACAACTGTTTACGAAAAGACACGACCTTCTTAGAATCTGACTGTGATGAACAGGTAATTGAGGGCTGAAGTTAAGGCTTGTGGAGATTATCAGTATTTATGCCTGCTCTTGTTTCTTTACCTCGTTCCCATCTTGTGGGTTATGTCTCCTTCCCAGATGATCCCTTCTTACTTTCATTTCTATAGCTTTTAGTTTCTTTGACTTTTGTCTTTTGACCACACGGACCCACCTTCTTTCTCTGTTCTTGTACCTGGGCTGCCAGGTGCATTAAGGAAAATCGCTGAACTCTTGGATGGGACCCACTGCAGAACTGAGCTGTTAGCAGTGTTTGGTCCTTTTGTTCATCTTTGACCTGTCTTCCATACTTTCTTCCCACCCAGATGAATTTGTATCTGAGAAATAGAGACTAATGGGATGTGTACTTCCTGTGTACTTCCTAGATATAAACCTCTGTTGTATTCTTTGTTTCCCTGCCTTGCCTTTATCACAGAGTAAGTGGGGTGTTACCACCTTGATCAAGCTTTTAAAATATTTGTTGTAGCTGTTATTTTTCTCAATTTACTTTCTCTTCCATTGTGTCTGGTTTGTCCCATTCTAGTTCATCTTCTATGTGGTAACAAAAGTTATTTTTCTAAAGTATAAATCTGCATCTTTTTCTTCCTAAGAAGAGTGAAATGACTCTTCACCGGCTTTAGGAAGAGGCTGGCTTGATCTGTTTTTAGCTTTCTAGTCTCTTCTGCTCTTCACCTACAGTTCAGTTTCCTAAATATGCCATGCTTATTTTTTAATATACTATTATGGGTCAAGTATAAAAAGTATTGGTGTAACTAAAGGAAATATCCTTGTAATTTTCCTAGGCAGATAAACCACAATACGATTCTGAAATCAGAAATCCAAACCCCGTCTTTCTGTGCTTTTACCCCAGAGCCACCTTATTTTACAGCTTTGAGAGTATCATTCACATTGTGTTCCTTATAAAGGATGCCCTAAAAATAATGTGATAATGCTTATCAGCAGGACTGGCTCAGGCTTCATGAAATTTTCCTGCCCAGGAAATCTTGTTTCCAGGATGGAAGCGTAGGTATTTATACCAAACACACTTTTGGCTGGAAAGAAGATGGAGCAAATGATCCAGAAGAGTATCTGAGAGATAAGCATTCTGATAGTGTTTCGTATTCCTGTTCCCTTATGTGGCCTTCCAGATTCAGTCAGTCAAGTAAATGTAGGATGGAAGTTTGGGGGTTACTTCAGAGCTGTAAGAGCCCTGTTCTCTTGAGTTTGGGAACAGGGTCCATTTCACAGCTAGTCTCTGCATAACCTATGTATTGCCTCTAAATTGTCAAGTAATGTGGATAGACACTTGTCAAACCATCCTAGAGCTGTATGCTAAAATGTATAGTTTATTTTAATTTGCGATTTTTGTTTGATTTGTTAGAAAGCAGGTTGCTTGCCAGTTTATAGCTCACAAGACCTTAGATTTCTATGCATAGTTTAGTATTTACTTGATTAATTTTTTGTTATTCCCTTATATAAATAATTGATGGTGGTGCTTCTCAAATTATCTAATCAAGTTACTTTCAACTTGCTGATTTTTCATATTACATTGGTTTTGTTCGATGAATTAGCTTAGTTTTTTTTTTTTTTGGCCTATTAACTCTACTTCAGTAGTTTGTGTACTCAGTGTGTTCAAGAGCCCTTTTAAAATGAAACTCTTTTCTCCACAGCTGCTTATTACTGTGGCATTCAATCAACCTGTTAAGCTTTATTCCATGAAATTTCAAGGACCAGATAATGGTGAGTAAAGCATAGTGTTTCTTTAAACTAACTTCCTGCTTTGTAGAACTGTTAGCATAAGATTAAAACTTTTTATTAAATTAAGGTAGAGGTAGTTTGTTGTTGTTGTTGTTGTTGTTGTTTTGAGACGGAGTCTTGCTCTGTCACCCAGGCTGGAGTATAGTGGTGCAATCTTAGCTCACTGTAATCTCTGCCTCCTGGGTTCAAGTGATTCTCCCACCTCAGCCTCCTGAGTAGCTGGGACTACAGACATGCACTGCCATGCTTGGCTAATTTTTATACATTTAGTACAGGATTTTACCATCTGTTGGCCAGGCTGGTCTTGAACACCTGACTTCAAGTGGTCCACTCACCTCGGCCTTCCAAAGTGCTAAGATTACAGGTGTGAGCACTGTGCCCAGGTTGTTTTGGAACAAAGCAAAATATAAATGAATGGGTAAATAATGTGAGATTGTTAGGTACTGAAAGTATGAAAGAAAGGAAACTTATTTTTATGCTTTTTTATTTTAAAATTTGTTTCCTTTTAATCTGAGAAGTGCTGAATCCTTTTTTCAAACTGTTCTAAAACTGTAGGTTCTGAGCAGCCATATTTTGGAATCAAAGCTGGGAAAAATTTATTTCAAACCCCTTTTATTTTAAGTGAGAAAACTGAGGCTCCAGACATTCCTTTTTGTGCCCTATTAATAGTATCATCTTTTTTATGTCGATGCATGTAAATATGATTACACAGACCTAGAATTTCTCTTCTTCTAAAATAAGGAATTTTCCTTATTTACTCCCCTCATTTTTTCTGTTTCTGTTAAGCTTTTTCTGAGGGGGGAATAGGGGAATGGAGACTAGGGTTCTGGTTTTTGTTTTGTTGTGTTTTTGTTTTGTTTTGCTTTTTTTTTTTTTTTTTAATTGATTGGAAGAAATAGCCAAGGCCCTATTTAGAAGATAGCATTTTCTTATTTGTTATGCTAAATTTTTATGTTAATTTGACTTTCACTCTGAAATTACAAAGTATTTGTATAAGCAAATGCTGTGGAAATGAGTTTTACTTTTCCTTCATCAGCCACAAAATGTGGGTCTTAAATTGTGCTTTGAGGCTGGGTTTGGTGACTTATTCCTGTAATCCCAGCACTTTGGGAGGCTGAGGTGGGTCAATCACCGGAGGTCAGGAGTTTGAGACCAGCCTGACCAACATCATAAAACCCTGTCTCTACTAAAAATACAAAAAATTTGTGGAGTGTGATGGTGCAGGCCTGTAATCCCAGCTACTCTGGAGGCTAGGGCAGGAGAATTGCTTGAACCTGGGAGGCAGAGGTTGCAGTGAACCAAGATCACACCATTGTACTCCAGCTTGGGCAACAGAAGCAAGACTCCATCTCCAAAAAAAAAAAAAAAATGTGCCTTGAAGTTAAAGGGATTAAGACATTCTATATATGGGGCTTTACCACTTAGCACATCCTAATGTAATCCCTAATGAAATTTGGCAGTTTGTATTATTGATTTTTTTTTTTTTTTTTTTGGCTAAATGTTGTCACTGATAACACTTTTCTCCTAAATAACTAAATGTACCAACTATTGGCAACTATAAGATTTAGCTCAAGTGCTATTTCTTTTATGAAGATTTTTGTTAACCCGCATATGTAGTCAGAATCCATTGTCACCTTCCTTGAACCTCCTCTCCTTTGGTACTTTATCATAGCATGTCTTTTGTAGTTGGGGGCAGGGATTTGCTGTGTGTGTGTGGTGTGTGTGGGGGTGGTGGGGGGGGGTTTTATATTCCTAACATTTAGCATTGTGTTAGCTCGGCCAAGAAAGTACCAGTAAATGTGTATTGGAAAATAAAGGATTGGCTGCCTAGATACCCAGACTTTTATACAAGTTCTAATAATAGATTTCTTTGAAGTATATGTATATTGATTTGTGTGTGTCTTTGTGCCTAATATGAGTGTAGTGGTAAAGGTAGTATAGTATGTTTGAGGTTTTTAAACATTTCATTTTGTTCTACTATTTTATAGGTCAGGGTCCTAAATATGTAAAAATTTTTATCAACCTACCCCGATCTATGGATTTTGAAGAGGCAGAAAGAAGTGAACCAACTCAAGCTCTGGAACTGACAGAGGATGATATTAAAGAAGATGGCATTGTTCCACTTCGTTATGTTAAGTTTCAGAATGTTAACAGTGTAACTGTAAGCAGTATTTCATTCATGTGTATTTAATAGGTTTGTAGGTAACAATACTATTTTCAGTATCCTAGGTGAGTCTAAGTGATTCTTATAAAGTGGTATTTGTCCACTCAGTTTGAAATGAGTAAAAATGTACAATGGGATAGTTAAATTTTCTTCTTTTTAATTTGTGTACCCTAAAGAGGAAGAACGGATTGATTTTTGAATATTTGTGGGTTTTTGTTAGTTGTTTTATATGTATATTAAACATACACATACAGTACTGGGTGTATACGCTTTAGCCACTACACTCAGCCTTTCTGAAGATTGACTAGTGCTTTTGCTCGAAGTTTATTCTACAACGTTATACTTAAAGATATTTGTGCTTTATTCTTTATACCTGCTAATAAGTAGTGATATGTTTATAAAATCCTATTTGCTTCTTGAATATGGAGTTTTAAAGTGTGGTGGTTATGATCTTAATAAAAATGACTTTTTATTTATTTATTTTTGAGATGGAGCCTCTCTTTGTTGCCCAGGGTGACTTGAACTCTGGGGCTCAAATAATCCTCCCACCTCAGTCTCCTGAGTTGCTAGGATTATAGGCATGCACCACTGTACCTGGCTTAAAAATGACCTTTTAAAAAGATAACATTACATTTTATAAGATGACCTAAGATATCTGAATTTTTTTTTTTCCTTTGAGGGAGGTTCTTGGTTCTTGCTTTGTTGCCCAGCCTGGAGTACAGTGGCACAATCTTGGTTCAGTATAGCCCTCACCTATGGGGTTCAGGTGATCTTCCCTCAGCCTCCTGAGCAACTGCAACCACAGGCACGAGCCACCACACCCAGCTAATTTTTTACTTTTGTAGAGACAAAGTCTCCCTGTGTGGCCCAGGCTAGTCTCAAACTTCTGGGCTCAAGCAGTCCTCCTGCCTCAGCCTCCCAAAGTGCTGGGCTTATAGGCTTCAGCCACTGCACCCAGCTTTTCTGAAGATTGACTACTAGTGCTTAAGATTATTTTAAGTGATATAGTTTAGATATTATTATAAAAATGCCACTCATGAGAATCAGCTACTTTTCAGTGGTTATTAATTGCTTTTAAAAAAATTTAGCATTGAAACCTAGCACATACTTCTCACCTACAGTCATTTAGAGGAATGGGTAGGACAGTTAGAAAAGAATAGCAGAATACTTAGAAAAAGAAAGTAGGAACCAGTGCAGAGCCACTGAGAATGTCATGCCAAACTGATACAATGTGTTTGTTGTGATGGAATAATTTTATTTTTGTAAATTAGAAGAATGCTAAAGTATGTGTTCATTTTAGAATATTTTTGAGAGTTTCACAGAATCTATGTAGTAATATGAAGAATTATAATTGTCTGGGTGTGGTGGCTCACACCTGTAATCCCAGCATTTTGGAAAGCCAAGGGGAAAGATTGCTTGAGCCCACAATTTTGAGACTAGCCTGGGCAACAGGTGAAACCGCATCTACAAAAAAATACAAAAACTAGCTGGGCTTGGTGGTGTGCCTATAGTCCCAGCTACTGTGGAGGGATCACTTGAGCCTGGGAGATTGAGGCTTCAATGAGCTGTAATTGTGTCATTATTCTCCAGCCTGGGTGACCAAAAAAAAAATAAAAAATTTTAATCAAGTTGAGTTTTAAGTATTAGTAATATCCTACACAAATGAAATCAGAGAAAATGGTTACATTAAACTTAGAATACTGGTTATCAGATATTTTCTTGAAAGAATTTATGGTTGCCTATGAAAACAACAAAAACTGATCAGTGAGTGCCATCTCAGAATGAAAATAAGTATGTTGTTTAAATCAAGAAGCAATTTTTAGTGGGCATGGTAGTGCACCTGTAGTCCCAGTTACTTGGGAGGCTGAGGCAAGGGCTTCACTTGCCTCCCAAGTAGCTGGGATTACAGGTGCCGCCACCACGCCTGGTTAATTTTTTATATTTTTAGTAGAGATGGGGTTTCGCCATGTTAGATAGGCAGGTCTCGAACTCCTGACCTCAGGTGATCCGCCTGCTAAAGCCTCTCAAAGTTCTGGGATTACAGGCATGAGCTACTGCATCCAGCCTAGATTAATTTTTACAAAAAATAGAGAATATTTTTATTAGTAATTTAAGGAGATTGATTAAACTTAAAGCATGTTTGTGAAGAAGGATTATAAGTATAAATGTAAACTTTTTTTTTGGTAGATATTTGTTCAGTCCAATCAAGGTGAAGAGGAAACAACAAGAATTTCATATTTTACTTTTATCGGTACTCCAGTCCAGGCAACAAACATGAATGACTTCAAACGAGTAAGTTTGCTTAAATGATACTTAGGGGTAGTAAAAATATAATTTTAATGGAATAATTTCATGTATCTCAACCTACACACTTTCTTTTAACCAAGTGATTCAAAATCATGTCATGAAATTTTACAAAGCTAAGCTAGGATAGAAAGTTCTCCTAATTATATTTTTGGATATCCAACTAAAAGGAATCTTTAATAAAAATGATGTCTTAACTGATAGGGTCTTTTAATGAATGACATCAACATAAGGGTAAAAATAATAGTTTGGTTATAGAAAGTGGTTAGTAATAATGGAAAATGAAAGTAAGTTAAATCATTTGAAAGCAGTGGTGAGAATTAAGGAACTTTTTGTTGATAGTAAGATTCTGATTATTATTTCTGATGAAATTTTTTTTGTCTTTTTTTTTTTTTTTTTTGGTCTGATGAAATTTTAAATTACTTGAATAATTTTATTTGAAAAAGAGTGAACTGAGTTTTAATATACTGACATATTAACTTTCCAAACCATGTTTGTATGCTGAAATAGCACATTTCATCAAATAATGGTAAATAGGCAAGTTTTCTCAAGTATTTTTATGTATCTTTATGTGTGTGCATATAATTTTTTTTTTTAAAAGACATAAATATAAGAATTGTAAAGAATCTTTACCATTCTTTGTAAAGCACTTATGGGGTACATGGGACCTTTGTTAATCCAGACTAATTCCTTTTAAACATTACTGGAACAGCTTCTAATTGGTAACAGTTCCCTCGGGTTACTCTCAAATATACAACCACATATCATCAAAGTGCTACTTAGAGCTTTATCAGTACAGAGCCTCAGTTGCCACATATTCAGTTTAAATGTGGCAGTACAGAATACATAGGTATCCCACTGTCTCTAATGACTGCATCTGGCAGGCAGTCTAGAACTTGAGGAAGTGTTTCCCTAGGCCTGGCAATTCCTAGATGAAGAGGCTCCCAGCGGACCCCTGTTGTGGAATTGAAGATGCAGAACATCTTAAGCACTCTTATTCTTTTTGGTGATATCTACAGATCTGGCTTAATTCAATTATAGAAAAATGTATGAAGTTGCATAACAAGGGATGATCTTAGAAAATTGTGTGCTCTTTTTGCCAGTTGAAAACCTGCACAATAGGTATTTTAACTGGTCTTTTTCCAGCGATTATTTCCCTGTCTCACAGCATGATTAACTTTTGGGGACTGCAGGAATAATTATCTTCTTAGAGCTGTTATGTCTAGATGTTTCACATATGTTTAATGACAGGTCAGAAGAAGCAGAGATTAAACATCTACATTTTTACAATGTGAAATATGTTTTATTGGGAAAATGTGTGAGCAACAAAGATTTCTTGGCTGCCTGCTTTGCCTTTTGGAATTAGATGCCACTGGACTTGGCTTTAATTGTGCCTTGTGTAGTTTGTTCTGAGTTTAATCTTTTATAACATCTGTTATTATAAATCTTATTTTCTCATATCATAAATTTGGTTCTGCTTTCCTGTTTCTCACCTTAGTTTATACTATTTGATTCTCATTTTTCTGTAAATAACCACCATTCTGTCTTGTTCATCTTCATACCAGCTAGCCATTCAGCTAAAGTTTCTCTAATTTGCATGAATAATTGTCCATCTAACTATCTGTCTCCACGTTTTTAACATTCTCCTCACATCCCTTCTAGCCTTGTATTTTCTCTTTTTTTAACTGTCAGACTCCCTTTTTGGGTGCTGTCTTTGGGATAGCAAAGGTGTTAGACCTTTCTTGCTTGAGAGTATTTGTGCTTGTTTTATAACAGCCATTTATTCATTTAATTTTTTTTTAACTTTAAATAGCTATACAGTAGCAGTTCTCAAGCTTTTTGGTTTCAGGACCTCTTTATATTATTAAATACTATTGAAGGCCAAAAAGAACTTTTGTTTATCTGGGCTGTATTTATCTAATATTTGTCATTTAGAAGTTAAAACTGGTAAATAAAAAAATATATTTATTTGTAAATAATGAACACATATTAACATAATATTTTTAAATTAAAAATAAGCATATTTTCTTTTCTTTTCTTTTTTTTTTCTTTTGAGATGGAGTCTCATTCTGTCACCAGGTTGGAGTGCAGTGGTACGGTCTCGGTTCACTGCGGCCTCTGCCTCCCAGGTTCAAGTGATTCTCCTGCCTCAGCCTCCTGAGTGGTTGGGACTGTAGGCACCTGCCACCACGCCCAACTAATTTTTGTATTTTTAGTAGAAACTGGGGTTTCACCATATTGGCCAGGCTGGTCTCAAACTGCTGACCTCAGATGATTCACCCGCTTTGGCCTCCCAAAGTGCTGGGATTACAGGCATGAGCCACTGCACCCAGCCAAAAAATAAGCATATTTTCTAAAAGAAAAACCAATTTAGTAAGAATAAGAGCATTGATTTAGATTTTTTTTTTTTTTTTTGTTGGGGGGAGGGGGACTGTTTTTTGTTCTTTCACAAATGATGGAATGCAGAGGCCCAGTTGTGGCTCACTTCAGCCTCAAACTCCTGGGCTCAGCTGATCCTCCCAGCTCAGCCTCCTGAGTAGCTGGGACTACAGGCGTGTGCCACCAAACTTGGCTGTTTTATCTTTAAATTTATGTGGTGACAGGGTCTCACTGTGTTGCCCAGGCTTGTCTGTTTACGAGCCTAATAGAGTCCTTTCCTTCTCATATCTGCTTCTGCATTCAGTCAGCTTTCCTGTCACACATCATAGAGCCTCTGAAAAACTTCCCTGGATACTTGTGAAGCGAGTGAGAGTTTAAAAGGCAAAAAACAATTTAGCATTATGAAAAACAGTGTTGACCTCCCAGACCCCTTGAGAGGGTCTTGGAGACCACACTTTGAGAATTGCTACAAGAATCATTTGAATATCATAATTGACTCCCTTATTGGTGTTCTGGGCTTCTTAGCTCCGTGCTTTTAATGTTTAATAAATTTTAATTGATGTGGTGATTTTCTTATGTATATTACAGTTTCTTCTAATATTTCTGAATGGCGTTTGTACTGTAGTCGCTCATTGTTTTTTAGGGTTATTCTTTAAAAGTAAGCTAGTATTTCATTGTTTTTATATTGTACAAAGCAACAACTTCAATGTAGTAAAAAATATATAGGGTTTATGTGTAACTGAAATTGGCCAGATTAGTCTTTGTACAGATAAGAGTTGCTTATTACAAATTATAATTGACTTTGGTTCTTGTTGAAGGAAATATTAGTTGTGTGGTATGGTATGTTTTGTCCCTATAGTACTAGTAAAATAATCTCTCCTTATCTGTGGCAGGGAAATATGTTCTTAAACCCCCCGCCCCCGACAGTGGATGCCTGGAACTAAGGACAGTAACAAACCCTATACACACTGTGTTTTTTCCTATGCAGACGTTTCCAACTTACGATGGTTCAAGTTTACAATGGTGCAAAATTGATATGCATTCAGTAGAAACCATTCTCTTAAGTGTGGGTCAGTTACGCATTTTTGACTTAAAGTATTTTCAGCTTACAATGAGTTTACTTATTTCTTTAAGACTGAGTTTCACTCTTGCCACCCAGGCTCTAGTGCAGTGGTGTGATCTCTGCGTCCCAGGTTCAACCTCTGCCCCCCGGGTTCAAGTGATTCTTCTGCCTCAGCTTCCTGAGTAGCAGACAGGTGCCTGCCACCATGGCCAGCTAATTTTTGTATTTTTAATAGGGATGGGGTTTCACTGTGTTGGCCAGGCTGGTCTCCAACTCCTGACCTCAGGTGATCCGCCTGCCTCGGCCTCCCAAAGTGCTGGAATTACAGACATGAGCCACCACGCCAGGCCTTTACAGTGGGTTTAATCAGGATGTATTACCCCATCGGAAGTCAAGGAGCATCTCTTCATGTTTACCTCTGATAATGTTTAATGTATAAATTAGGCACAGTAAGAGATTAATAACAAGGCCAGAGAGCATGGTGGCTCATGCCTGTAATCCCACCACTTCAGGAGGCTAAGGCAGGAAGATCACTTAAGCCCAGGAGTTCAAGACCAGCCTAGTAAATATAGTAAGACTCCATCTCTATAAAAATATCAAAAAAAAAAAAAAATTACCCAGGCAAGGCAGTGGCTGCACCTGTAGTTCCAGATCCCTGAGAGGCTGAGGTGGAAAGATCACTTGAACCCAGGAGTTCAAGTCCACAATAAGATAGGATCAAGCCGCTACACTGCAGCCTGGGCGACAGAGTGAGACCTCATATCAAAAAAAAAAAAAAAAAAAAAAGAGATTAACAACAACTAAAAATAAAATAGAGCAATTATAACAATATACTGTGGTAAAAGTTAACATGGATATGGTCTCTCCCATGCTTGCCCTTTCTCTCACTGTCTCAAAATACCTGACTGTACTGCACCATAGGCAATTGAAACTGCAGAAAGTGAAAGCATGGATAAGGAGGGACTACTGTACAGTCTACAGCAAGTTTCTATCTACAGCAAATTTATATTCTTGTAGGATAATGGACAAACATAGGGAAAGTTAATCAAAATTATTCAAAGGTTAATTCAAGGGTCTCTGTCCTCAGAGTATTCTCCGACTTTACCAACTAAATGACTTTTCCTTTTCCCCCAACAATGACTGAGAAAGTCTGACAATACTTTGAAAAAAAAGAGGGTCTTGCACTAAGTTTTGAGAGTAGAGTTTGGATAGTGCAGCAGGTGGCAATGGGTACCCTTGATAGAATGGAAAAGTAGGGACCTGGACATGAACTTAGGAAGGTGGAGGGTTCATTAAAGGACAAGTCACATATGGCATTTCTTTTCTTTCGCTCACTTGGTCAGTCTGAATTATGAGAAAGTATATACATAGTAATCATAATTGAAAATTTCAAAATAGATTTGGCTTGTATTTAATGGGCACAGGGAGGAAAATTTTGATGACTGCTGTTTAGTGAAGGGCGCTATATAAAATGGCTTAATGAATGATAAAGTAGATCATATGGTTAGCATTTTTAGCTTATATTTTTATCTTGTGTGAGCTGTTCCTGGATAATTTCAGTGACCCTTATATCACTAAGATGGCAGAATCTTAGTGCTATTGAATTTCCAATGTGGATAGAAATCTTAGATGACCTTACATGCTTTTACATTAAAGGTTAGATTTTTAAGGGTTGAAGAATACCCCTTCCACTTGTCTGTTTTTGGCTATTAATAGGCATCATGCACAGATTTTAATCTATACTTTGGCTGTTTGCTGTTGTAAATGGATTCTTTGCATTGCAGCATGAAAAGCTTGCCATTGCCATCTTAATTGAAAGTAGATGTTTTTGCTAAAATATGCTGTTTATATGAATTGCTTAATTTTAATACAGAATTTTTAATTAAAATTTTTATAAAAATATAAAAAGAAAATGATTGTAGGGGCTTCTGCTTCTTAGGAAATAAGGTGCATGTGAAAGGATTTTTATCACTATAAAAATGGACTTTGCTAAACTGGCCATTCACCGTATCAGCTATTTTTGTAACATTTCTGTCTGTTTATTTTTCAGCTTTTTTAATCCAACTCAAATGAACTAAAAACAGAAGATATTTTAAAATGAAGTAATATAAAGATTGACCTTGTCTCACTCTACTCCCCTCCTTGCTTCTCTGCTCATCTAGCACCTGTCTGCTCTCACCCTTCCCATGTTCTCGCCATTGTTGGTGCAAGATTTCTACAGCTTCTGTCATCTGGATCAGCCTTGTTACCTAGGTTTCCTCAACCATCTCTTTCTTCAGATCTCATCCTAGTCATGTTTCTCAGTTGGCCTTTTATTTTGTTTGGCTTTTGTTTTGGGCTTGCAACTAGGTGCTTTAATTTTATTACCATACCATGTTGCTCACTAGCCTATTTATTTTTTTTACTTTCTACCATTTCATATTTAATTTTGTACTACATTTTGAGACGTAATATCACAATAAACTTAAATTGTTATGAATGGCTTTAGATTTACCTGGTTGTTTTAATCCATTCTAAACTTTAAATTTTATTTTCTAGGAACTATAGAATTCTTTTGGAAATCAAATATGGCAGTTTCATCAAGTTCTTTTATATTTGTGCTAGTTTAGTATATTGATTGCATTTCAGTTGAGGGGTGTTGGTTTTCTTTTTCTCTTTGAACGTTAGCCCCATAATCCTTGTGATGATTGACTGGGGCATGTCCTCTGCTTTTACCTACCCAAGTGAGCTCAAGACCAGTTGAAGGACTTATGGACTGAATATTAGGCTGGGTTAACATATTAATATAGAAGATCAATGGATTCTTTACTGAATAAATATTTTCTTACACATAATTTTTATGTACCTAGATTTTGGTTTGTCTGAGGTGTAATATAAAGACTTAAGAATGAATAAAAAGAGCTTTGCGTTTGGGATGACAATCTATGTTGGAATGTTGAATTTCTTCTTTTTTACAGAAAATACACATTGGCAAGTTGAGAGTTATCAACCTGTGAAACAGTATGCAGATTTGTGTCTTCTGTATCACATCTGCCAGAAGTTTAATTTTTAATATTATTTGTTTTGTTTTCTTTTGCTTAATCTAATAGCTTTGTGTTTTGTGTTTCCCAAGTAAAACAGTGATCAATAATACTCAGTGTTTATCGGCACAAAATTTACGTGTGATACAGATAATGCCACTTCCCCTTCTAGTGGCTCTTAAAACCTGAATTTCTTACTCTTGTCGACATTCTGTTACATGAAAATGCCTTTTTGTCATTTTGCTGGCTTGTGAGCTTTCTAACATGGTGTCTTTGGACCAAAAGGGAATTCCTTTAAAGTACTAGAAGTGATTTTTCTTAGGGTGGGAAAAACATTTCTAGGATTGTGTGATTGGGATTTCAGTGGAAAGTTTTCAGATCTCTCATGAATGATGTTGACACAGCTATGTTATATTTTAGACCAGACATGTACTGATGACTTTATTGAGTTTTGCTGGTACAGATACTGCTATTTAGAATAAAATCAATTTGAAATATGAAAATTAAATTTATAAATGTAAACAAATCTTTCCACACAAACATTCAGTATTTTGCGAGTAGGTTTCTTTCGAGACATTTTTGCTCTGAGAATACATTATCTGATGATAAACATTAAGCTTTAGGTAGATTTTTCAATTAAAACATAGTTTTCAAACTCTCCTGCAGATAATTTGTTTTCTAGATTTGTTGGTAGAAAACAAATTTTTATTCTTCACATTTTTATGCTGCCACATATATAGCAATCAGAACATTTTATAAAACCCTCCAGTAGAGGATTTTTCTAATCATTGACAGAAACAAGGTTTATTCATTTCATTTTTAATAATATACTTACAGTAACCAGGGTATTTTCATAGAAACCAGGAAAAATTAGTCATTTTTAATCTATTTTCATTGCATGTCTATGTATTGAGGGGGAAAGTCTAGAAATTTGCTATATTGGGCATGAAGACATGAGTTTAGCATACCCTTCTAATTCCAGATTATTTTGTGATCAACATTTGATTTCTAATTATCTAAAAATAGTATGTCAAATATGTTTTACTCATATAGCATTGTTCTTTAACTTTTCTAAACTTTCAATTTTGCTTTTTAAAATTGCTATACTTTCTTTAAAAAAAGCTGTGTGAAATCAAAGATAGCCTGCATGTGTTTTATTTTTAATTCCTTGTGGCTGGAGGGCAGGGGAGGTCACAGTTTGCTTCAACAGTGAAAATGTACTGCATGCCAGAAAAGATCCAAGGATAAAAATTAATACCAAGGTTTTAAACTGATTACTATATTAGTGTTTTTTTTAATAATCCATATTTAAAATCAATAGGATGTACATGTAAAGTTATTTTTGTTTTTCTAGGTAGTTGGCAAAAAAGGAGAAAGCCACTAAAGTACAGAAGACACTGGACAACCATATTGCAATCAGATCTACAGCTCCTGGATAATCGCTTGATTCTCGCCAGAGACTGTCAATGTTTCATTAATTGCCATTACCAATAAATCATTGCTTTTGTTCAGATGGTATCACTAGTGTTTCCATTGTAATCTTGACACATACAATTGTAAATAAAAGTCACTACTTTTGCCAAGCTTAATTTTTGTCATTCTAAATCAGTATTTTCTCTTTCTATGTATTTGAAAATTGGTCAGCTTCTAATTTTAGAAGAGACTTAAGTGTCTGGTAGCATATTGATTGAAAGCCAGTTTCTTTAGAAAAGCAGAAACTGTTTTAGGGAATTAAGGAGTACATGTGCACACATTCACAGCAAGTGATTTTGATAAGTGGTCTTGGAGCAGCTGTGTTCAAATGAGTACTAACTTGTATTTTTATTAAAGGACATTTGGATATCTGAGCTATAGAAATTACTCAAATTATAAATTAGGAGAAATAAACAGGTTTAATAAGATTTAACTACTCTTAACCTAAAACTTAGTTAATGGGTCCTCAAATTCTTTCTTGGTATATACCAAGATTTTAATCTTTTCTGGTAAATTTAAAAATTTTAGTTAGCCTTATTTGTCTTACTAATAGAGGAATGTGGAAATCAGATGGTTTGGGAAAAAATACAGCACAATGAATTCAGAAAACAATAGGAATTGGCCGGGCATGGTAACTCATGCCTGTAACCCCAGCACTTTGAGATGCCGAGGCAGATCAATCACTTGAGGTCAGGAGTTCGAGACCAGCCTGGCCAATATAGCAAAACATCGTCTCTACTAAAATTCCAAAAATTAGCTGGGCACTGCGGTGGGTGCCTATAATCCCACCTATTTGGGAGGCTGAGGCAGGAGAATCAGTTGAACCCAGGAGGCAGAGGTTGCAGTGAACCGAGATTGCGCCATTGTCCTCCAGCCTGGGCAACAAGAGCAAATCTCTGTCTCAAAAAATGAAACGAATAGGAGTTATTATCTTTAATCAAGTATTATCTGAACTCCCAAAATGTACAGTGTATATATACAGAGAATATGATTTAAGGTTGAAAATGAGGTGGCCAAATACAAATGTTTAAAATGTCTTTCACAAAAGGCTGGTAAAATATTCTTTTTTATCTTAGAATTGTAATCTAAGAAGTGTTGGTAGATTTAATTTTAAAATACCTGAGTATTTTTAAAACTTTTTAAAGAGTGCATAAGACTGTAAAATTGTGATTCAGTTAATACATTTGAGGGCATTCTCGTCTAGGAATGTGGTAGAGATACCATTTGCCTTTGTGAGAGCAGTGTATTTATACATGTTTATGAAAATAATTTTACAGAAGTTTTAGCGTTGAAATAGTCCCTTTCTGAAACCTAAGTGTCATTAGATAGTTTAGTTCATTTGTATATGGGCACTTTAACTGGCCTGTGATGATGTCTGTGTCTTAACACTGCTTACACAGACCATCTCAGATTAATCACATCTGAAATTAAGGATACGATTAATATGCAGGGTTTTGCTTTACAGTTTTGTACACTTAACCTTTTTGAGTAACTGTTAAAGTGCCTCATCCTAAGTATTGCTGACCTTGTCCTATTTATACTTGACAGTTTGAAAACCCAGTGAAAGAATTTCGTATTTGTAAAGGATTGGACATCAGATTTATATTGTTTATATTATTTTTCTATAACAATTGGTTGCAGTATACAAGCATTCCATAATTCAAATTGTAAATATTTAGTGAAAAATGAATGTTTATAGGTAACTATAACATGTTTCACTTGTGGGAAGCTTTACAAATAAATATGCATAATTGGGATTATTTAAAATATCAAGCCGAAATGCTAATGTTTTCTCCTAAAACAGTATATATCATATATATACATACATATATGTATCTATATATATAACATTTACATATATCACTGAGTTTTCCAGGTGAATAAGAGCATTTGAAAAAAATGTAACTCTTGTAATTTTAACTGAAGTCGTTTATTAGATAGTGCGGTTTCTTGTTTTGTCAGATATAGTAAAGAATCTCATGATTTGTGTATTTTGTTACATTTGACATCAGGTGTTTATGATGAGAAACAAGTGAAATACCCTGTTCATAATAGAAACAAAGTATTGCAGTAGGAAGTCTTTGTCAGCTTAATGCTGAAGCCAAGAGTAGCACATTCTTGTGCTCATGGCAGACTTTTATAATCCTTCTGAGTTTTCTTTGACATCAAGCCCCACATTGTTCCCCAATCTCAATATTGCGTTGGAGGCAGCCACATAAAAATTAGAGTTGAAACCTGCCTGCTCTCCTTTGTCTCACTGTTGGAGGATATATGCAGTGTTTTTGGAACTGATTATAGATAGGACTGCTGTTGCATATTTGGCCTCCGCATTTTATGACTGCAATTAATATCCCTGATCATGGACTTTTTAACCTAAAATAGTTCAGATCTTCCCTTGTTCCTCTTAATGTCTAAAAGCTTTAATTCTGTAATAAGAATAAAGTTTTGAAGTTGAAGTTGATTAAATTAGTTACACCCTTTCCTTTGTAAGCTTTAAAAACATGAAAGAAGTAAGGCTTACTCATATTGCTTGTATTGATATTTATATAGTTCAATTTAGTAGGTTAATTTTTGTGTTAGGTGTATCTCTTCTGGGATTTTTCATTTGTAATCTTAGACGATTTTTTAAAGATAAGTAAGAGTAAGAAATCTGGCCCGGAATAGTGGCTCACACCTGTAATCCCAACATTTTGGGAGGCCATGGTGGGTGGATCACCTGAGGTCAGGAGCTGGAGACCAGCTTGGCCAACATGGAGAAACCCTGTCTTACTAAAAATACAAAAAGTTTAGCCAGGCATAGTGGCAGGTGCCACATCCAACTGCTTGGGAGCCTGAGGCAGGAGAATCGCTTGAAGCTGGGAGGTGGAAGTTGCAGTGAGCCAAGATTGCACCACTGCACACAGGCCTAGTGGCAGAATGAGACTTCATCTCAAAAAAAAAATCCATTCACAGAACTGCTAAAGAAAAACTTTAAAGGAGTACTGTGCTCATTTAGCTTTAAAACTCACTGTTAGAGGTGTGTATTTTACAGGGTTTTCCAAACATAGATTGTGTATGCTTTATAATATACATAAAGCAAGTATACATATATAACATCCATATAGTAAATAAATTTTAAAATATTGTCTATTCCCCGGTTAAGCCTATATTTCTTAAGACTATTGATGTCATTTTAAGCATGTTTTAAAATTCAAGTTTTACTTTTAGATCTAAGTTTTTTTACATGCTCAGCACTATAGGACTAAGGACAAGTGGAGATTTGTGGGCTAATAAGATTGCTTTTAAACTTTGTGGTCCATGTACAATTGTTAGCTAGAGAATGTATAATTAGGTAACTATAAGATAAAGAGATAACCTTTATAATTTGAATGTACTAAAATTGTACACAGCTTGGAATTAAAATCTTAAGGATATGCAATGTTAAAACTGC